GATCCCACATGCCGTGGAGCGGCTGGGCCCGTGAGCCATGGCCGCTGAGCCTGCGCGTCCAGAGCCTGTGCTCCGCGACGGGAGAGGCCACAACAGTGAGAGGCCCGCGTACCGCAAAAAAAAAAAAAAAAAAGACATTGGACCGCTCCAGGGGCACTGGGGAACTATGGCAGGTTCCTGACCCAACATGCATTTTCGGACATGCCCCAACTCCTCAACCCTCCTCTTCAGGGTCTGACATTACTGGATCTCTCCTCAGTGTTTGAGAAGAAAATCTCCGTATCAGCCAGTTTAGACCATTCCTCCCCCCATGTTCCCCCACCCTGCCTTGTCCTCAGTCAGCAGCCAGCATGGGCTTAGAAAAAGGAGGCCCAGGTTCAAGCCCCAGTTCCACCACCTCACCTCTCTGGGCCTCCGTTTCCTCATCTGTTAAATGGGAGGATGACAAGAAGTGCAGCCCTGCTCACTACAAGGCTGTGAGAAGACGCACAGGAGGTAATGTGGAGGTGTTCTGTTAGACGTCACAAGAAGTAATAACAGAGGAATCATCATTATCACTGTGGCACAAGGACTCCACAGAGGCTCTTTCCCTTCCCTGAGGAAACTGCAGGCTATTTGGCCTTCTTGCAACTTCCCTTTCCACCTGGAAAGCCACATAAGGCTTTACTCAGATACATCAGAAATGCAAAAAGCATATGCTCTGGAAATCTAGTAATCGTTCATTCATACATTTATTGAGTATCTACTAAGTGCCAGCCTCCATGCAGCAAATGATAGCCTCCTGGCTGCTCTGTGATCTTACCTGCGCTTTGCTTACCCTCTGCCTTCAGCCTTGGGTGTCCTTTCCCCCTTCTCCACTCTTCGAAGTCTTCCTTAATCCTGGCCTTCAATGAATCACGTTTTCTTCTGCTTCCACAGCTTGCCGGTACCCATCCAAGCAAGTACTTGGATAAACTGCAGTTTTTTAAATTCAAACCCATATTGTCAGCTCACCGAAGGCTGAGTCTGTCTCTCCTGTGTGGGGCTGAGCGCATCTTAACTGCAAGCTTCAGTCAGACGTGGGTTGAGATCAGGCTTTCATCCCTGTAGCTGTAATTCTCGCTAACCCCACATGGTGGCAGCAAAATCCTCCAATCACAGCCCTTGTCCCAGGAGCGCAGAGATTGCAGGCTGGGAAGCTGCATCCAGAGGCTCCCCCCAGCTCCAGGGAGGCCAGGCTAGGAGTAGAGATCCCTTCAAGCTCACTTTCTTCTTTATCTCCTTCACCAACCCCTTCCGCTTTGGGTCACTTTGCTCTGCCCACCCCAGTTTCTCTGCCTGTAACAATGAGATCATTTGAACACAAACTGAACTCTTCACTTACATGAACTGAGTCCTGTCAGGCACTCCTTTTTTTTTTTTTTTTTTAACAACAGCTTTTTCAAGTTGTAATTCACATACCATACAATGCACTCATTAAAATGTGCAATTCAATGGTTTTTAATATACCCACAGAGTTATGCGATCATCACCACAATCAATTTTAGAACATTTTCATCACCCCCAAAAGAAGCCCTGTTACCCATTGGCAGTTACTACCCATCCCCCCACTCCTAGCCCCCAGCCCTAGGCAACAACTATTCATCTTTCTGTCTCTATCGATTTGCCTATTCTGGACATTTCATGTAAATAGACTCATATAATACATGGTCTTTTGTAACTGACTTCTTTCACTTAGCATGTTTTCAAGGTTTATCCATTTTACTGCTAAATAAAATCCTATTGTATGGTTATACAACATTTTGTTTATCCACTCAACAGCTGATGGACATTTAGGTTGTTTCCACTTTTTATCTATTATGGATAATGCAGCTATGAACATTGCTGTACGAGTTTTTGTATACATGTTTTCATTTTTCTTGTTTATATACCTAGAAATGGAATCTCTGGGTCATATAGTAACTGTATGTTCCCCCTCTTGAGGAGCTGACAGATTGTTTTTCACAGCAGCTGTACTATTTTCCATTCCCACCAGCAGTGTGTGAGGGTGTCATTGTATAATGATGTTTCATTGAGACATCACCATGGTGTCTCATTGTGGTTTTACTTTTTATTTCTTTCATGTGCTTATTGGCCATTTGAGTATCTTTGGAGAAATGTCTATTCAGATCCTTTGTCCATTGGGATACTTGTCTTTATTATTGAGTTATAAGAGTTCTTTACACATTCTTTTTTTTTTTTTTTTTTTTTGACTGTGTCGTGCGGCTTGTGGGACCTTAGTTCCCCAACCAGGGATGGAACCTGGGTCCCTGGCAGTGGGAGCACCGAGACCTAACCACTGGACCGCCAGGGAATTCCCATCTTTATACGTTCTAGATACAAGCCCCTTATCAGAGATGTGATTGGCAAATATTTTCTCCATTCTGTGGTCTTTTGTCTTCTTGATGGTGTCATTTGAAACACAAAAGTTTTACATTTTGATCGTGTTCAATTTATTTTTTTTCTTTTGTTGATTGTTCTTTTGGCATCATATCAAAGAAACTATTGCCTAATCCAGAGTCGGGCCAGGCTGTGGGCATTTTGGAGGGGTGGCAGGGCCAGTCCCTGCATCTTGACAATGGGTGACCAACAGGCTACCTGTGAACTTGGGAGCTCCAGTTTCAACTACACCCCTCTTGAGCTCAAGGAGCAAGGCCCTATCCTTCCTGGTCAGCCTGGCTCCTCCCTGGGCCCTCCTCTCAGCCTCTCCTGCCCTCACCTCCCTGACCCAGGTGGCTCCATGAGGGCCCAGGGGAGCAGTCCCTCTTTGTGGGAGGGGCATGGGTCTAGATGTCCCACTCCCTGACTCCAGCCTGAACTCAGGTCAGGACAGGCCCCTCCATCCTTGGTTGCTCCCACTGCCCCCTTCCTGCTGCCAGCCCAGCTTCCCCCAACCCTGTCCTGAGCAGGGTGACTACTCTCCTCACTGCCCCACCCCTAGTCTCCATGTTCACATACCCACTAGCCCCATTCTTTTCCCTCTCCCCTCCCTCGGGGTTCTGGGGCTCAGTCTAGTACCGAGCATCCTACTGTGGCCTGACTGGGCTGGATGCACAGGGCTCCAGGTGGGGCGTGGCTGTCCTGTCTTCCAGCCCTGCCTCTGCCTCTAACTTCTCTGGGATCCTGAGCAACTCCTGCACCTCATAGCTCTCAGTTGCCTTGTCTGTCTCACAAGGGGGCCAGTGGTCCCTTCGGCCTCTGTCATTCTGGGGTCATTCTGGGTCTACCGTCCCTGGTGGGTGGGGATCTCAGGTTAGCACCAGCTCTCCTGGGTCCCTCACCCCTCACTGCACTAGGAGACGGAGCCGGCAGTGGAGAGGGGCCCCTGCTAGGTGTGCACAGGGGCGTGTTCCTCCCTCCCTGTGACCTCAGGACTGCCCCCGCCCCCCAGACCAATCTTCACTAATCATAGGGATGAGACCCACAAACAGGGCTTGGCTAGGAGTTGGGACCACTCCCTGTCATCCTGCGCCCCTCCCATCACACCCCAGGGCCATGGTGGGGAGCCTTCCCACTGCCCAGCCTCCCAGTTCACATTTGTTCTCCACCCGTCCCCCCAAAGTGGTCCCGTGGTCAAACATGTCCACATCTTTGACTCTACTCCTATCAAAAGGTGGACTCTAACTCTCCTCCCTGGAATCTGCTGGCCTTAGGGATTTGCTCCTCAAGAACAGAACATGGCAGTGGCACTGTGGGTCGTCCAGGGCAAGGTTCTAAATGATGAGGCAGTTTCCGCCTGGCTCTCTCTCTCTCAGGACGCTGATCCCTGGCTCCCAGCCACCACCAGGCTGTGAGGCAGCCCAGGCCCATGGAGAGGCCACAGGTAGGTGACAGGGCCGAGGGCCAGCGTCGGCCACCAGACGTGAGATCATTGAGCCTTCAGATGATTCCAGCCCCCAGGCTTCAAACTGCCTCAGTGGAGCAGAGACAGCTATTCCTGCGGGGCCCCGCCCAAACTGCAGATTTCTGAGCAGAAGAGATGTTAGGTTAAAGCACTGACTTGGGTGCTTTGTTACGGAGTAGGTAATTGGAGCAGGTTGCAAGCCCTGGCTGCTGCTGCTTTCTGCCCAAAGACGAGTGTGTGTGAGTGTGTGTGTGTGTGTGTGTGTATGTGTGTGTGTGTGTGTGTGTGTGCGCGTGTGTGCGCTCACGTGTTGAGGCGGGAGCACGGTATTCAGCCTGAGGCTGCTGGATCGTTTGAGACCTCAGGACCCAGGTTCCAGCTGGGACACTCAGCTGATACCAATTTCTGCTAAACTTCCTAATTGGAACCCTGCTTCTCCCTTTACCGTAGCCTAGTTCAGGGCCTTGTTAGAATAGGCCCTTCCTGTATTTGCATGTGATTTGTGTGCAATTTGCATACATCTACATGAGTCATATTAGGTGGTTTTTAAAGGTTTCTGCCTCCCTCCCTGGGGGAGGTACTAGCATCTTGGACTCTGGAGGGACAGGGGCACTGGAAGTTACCTGGTCTGCTCTCCCATCCACTCACTGTCTGCTCCACCACATGACAACCCATCACCTCCCCAGGTGGTCCTTGGATGGCTTAGGTTGATGAACAATTTCTGTGTTTGTGGAGCTCTGTGTAAAGAAAGGTGAGGTATTATGTCTACATGTGGACTTAGTTCTTTCCTCTGGGAAAATCAATCAACCACTTCCCCCAACACTCAGGACAGGTACCATGGCAGTCTCAGGCTTCTCTTTCTCAGCTCAGCATCCACAGCACCATCACTGTTTTTGGTCTGACATCGGCCCCAACCACCCCTTCTGGCCTCTTCCAGAAGTGCCAGGCCAGGGGCTTTCAAATGTTTCTTTTAGGAGCAGTATCCTGTTTTCAAATGAAATCTCATGTGGAGTCTAACATGTTAAGACAGGTAAAAACAGAGCTGCTCTAGGTGAAGGTGCGCAGGGAGGCCCCCCCAGGTCCCTAGCCAGAGCTGGAGAACCCAGCTTGCAAACCACTATCCTCTCAAAAGATGCCTCTGGGTATAGAACCCCACCCTCCAGACTTGCAGGGCCTCCGAGGGGTGAGCCCTGGCTTTCCATTTCAGCAGCAGAGGGGACACTGACAGTCTAAGCAGTTGCATTACACCACTGCCTCTTACTAAGCTTGAGGCCCACTGAGACCCCCTGATCTTTGTCAGCACAACACCTTTAAGCCAAGTCTCTCGTGGTCTATCCTCAGCCTTGGCAGCCTCAGATACCTGGCTTCAGGAGCCTGGACTGAAGAGAGGACAGGGAGGAATAAAGAGGGCTGGCCAGGGGTCTGGCTGTGTGCTCTGAAGACAGTCACCCAGTCAGAGCCCCAGTTTCCTCAACTTCAGGATGGGGAGGAAAACAGTCCTTTCTCATAGACAGTGCATGAAAAGCATATAGCCTCGGCCAGCAGCTGGCTCAATACTGGTGGTCTGTCACTATAGGGCCGAAGGACTGGTCTCGGATCCCTCACTGCCAGCTAAGGAGGCACAAGCAGTGGTCAGAATTGCAGACTCTGGAACCTGGCGACCTGGCCCGGACACAAACTCTGATCCTGCTGAGACTGGCAGTGTGAGATTTAGGACGTTTCCTTCCTTTCTCTTATCCCTTCTCGGCTTCATCACCTGTAAGAGGAGATGACGATAACTAGAACATCGACCTCCCAGGGGGTTGTGAGGACGTAGGCAGCCTCCCCACCTGTGGAGAAGACCCAGCATGCACGGTGCCTGTAAGTAGTACCCCGGGGTCTGCTGTTATCACCACGGGCTCTGACCCTGTCAGGGTCCACCTGGCTCACCACCCTGGCTCCCCTAATCCCAGCACTCCCATCCCTCCCCCAGGGCCTGACACAGCCACCAAAACACCCGAGATCCACTTTGGCAACAGGACTTTTATTCAGTCAAAATGAGTGTGATAAAACCCAAGACAGGCCAGGTGGCCCCCCTCCCCCAGACCCACACTTCCCTTGGGAGAGGGGGTTCCAGGATGAAAGGAGGTGCAGAGAAGTCGCTGCAGGGACCAAGGGGCACTGCCTGGGAGGTCTGAGGTGCCCTGGGCTCAGGCCCAGTACTGGGGAGAAGGGACGATAACCTTCCCCAAGTCCACACAGATGAAACTGCAGTCTTCCAGGAAAACACCACCAAGTGTACCTTCTTCAGCTAATTCACTAAAGTTGGGGGTGGGGGTCCCTAGAGGGTTGGGGGGTCAGGGACTTTATGGTCTAATCTCATACTTAAGGAATGCACATTTTTTTCCTTTTAAAAAAAGTTTTGTTTCTGCTATTTAAAAAAATGTTTCTGAGTGTAACCAAAAATAGGTATTTGTTTCCTTTTTTTTTCTTCACCTTTAAGTCTTTCAAAGAACAACACAACAGAAAAGAGAAACAAGAAGTCACAAGAACATAAATCCTTAAACACACCTTATAGAAGCATAGCTTCCGGCCACATCTGCTGACATTGGTTGTTCTACTGTCCAGGGGCTGGGTCCAGCTGGCAGTGTCCCATGGGACAGTGGGCTGGGGACCCCCCCTTGCACACACACACAGTACATTCCGGAGGCCCGTCTGCTCCAGCGGCTCTGTGGACAGGACAGGAGGCAGGCTGTGGGGTGACAGCCCACCCTCCCAAGGCCCACGTGCAGAGAGGGTCCTGGGGGTCCCAGTCAAGGATGAGTTGGTGGAGAGGGTCAAAACGGGAGTGGACAGGCAGACAAGACAGAGCACTGGGAGCGTGCTGGGAAGTGGCTAGTTTTTGTTCCCAGGAACAAATTCTCCTCTTATTTTTGGCTTTTTTTTTTTTTTTCCACATTTTCTTTGACCAATTCCATCTTTCTTTCTGCAGGCCCCGAGAAGCCCACACTTGGTGAGGAGCCAGGAGGGAGGGTCCAATGATACAGCACAGGCCCGGGAGCCAGCAAGCCTCGAGGTAGACATTTTCTTTCATACCTGGAAATGGGGAAGTGCTTTTTTTTTCCTTTTTTTTTTTTTTTTTTCTAAACTCTGGACAACAATGTGGGGAGGGAGAGGGGGTGCCCCTAAAGGGGCTCGAGGTAGGAGTACATTCGGGGCTCTGTGGGGTGGGGGGGGCTGAGGCCACGGCCCCACTCCCCTGAGGACATTCATTCCGGCTGAGGTAGGTGCTGAGAGCCAAAACAGCAAAAATCCATCCTGAGAAAACAAGTCGTGGAGGGTGACAGTGTCAGGGGCCCAGCCACAGCAGGGGCACATGTTTGGAGTCTAATTCACCTTTCTCTCTCTTCTCTTTCCCTTTTTTTTTTTTTTTTTTTTAAATTTTAAGTTTGTTCTTTTTTTAAAGAAAAACATTAGTTCAGTTCCAAGTCATGTGGGTACCAGGCAGAGGTTGGGGGGGCCTTGGCCCAAGGGAGGGGCTCCTGCAGGAACCCCTCCGGGTCCTTGCAGGGTGTCCCTTGCCAAGGCTACTGTAAGTCTTGACAATCAGAGGAGCAGTCAGGACAGAAATGCTGGGAAGCCCCCATCCGAATCCCACATGACAGGAGAAATCTTGCCTTTGACCTGAGAATGGGGGGTTGCTCCCTCCAGAGCCTCCCGGACACTGGCTACTGTCCCGAGCGAGCTGGCAGGGTGGCTGGTCCTTCACTCAGGAGGCCGGGGCCCGTGTCCTGGGGTGGCAGGGCAGCGAGGGGGCCTACACAGGGGGCCTTGGCCTCCGACGTCATCTCCTCCAGGAGCCCGAACCCCTGAAGCGGCAGCATGGAGAACTGGGTCTCCTCACACAGGGCAGGGGCCTCAGGGTCCTGCTGGGGAAAGGGCCAGTCACACAGGTGTCAACAGGAGGGCCACAGGCTTGTGAGCCCCCAGCCAGGGGGTCAGGCTCTGGAGCCAATCCCACTCGGGGGTTCAGTCTCCAGGCTTCCCTGCCTGACCCGGGGGCACAGAGAGAAGCACCAGCCGCCAGTCTTGTGCCTGGAGAAGCCCTGCAGCTTGGCGGAGGCCGGTGACCAAGGCTTGTGACCAAGGTGAGGAGGGTGGAGCCTGAAGGAGGGGGTTGGCTCGGGGGAGGGCGGGGCACTCACCGTGGGTCTGGGGTTAGGTCTGGGGTCGGGCTGCCCCACGGCCCCCGCTCGGGGGAATAGCTGCTCCAGTTCCTTCATGTCCACATGTTTCCCATCTCGGCCCAGCTGGCCCCGCTCTCCCCGTCCCGCCCCATTGAGTGCCAGGATGCCAGGGTCCCTCTGGCTCCGGGGGCCCTGAGGAGGGGAGAGCTGGTTTTCTACATCCTTACACAAGAGGACCCTAGGGGGTGAGCCAAGAGTTAGGGGGAGGGATGTGGGAGGAGCAAGAACAAAAGGATGGAGACAATGGGCCCCAAACCCTACCTCCCCTGCAGTTTTCCGGCTCCAGGCCTGCCCACCCCATGCTGGCCCAGCCCCCTCTCCCTGGCCCAGGACCCACCTGCCCCTTTGGCCGAATAAGAGGAAGAGGACACAGAAGATGATGCAGGTGACCCCGATGTGGATGCCAATGACGATGCCTGTGGTAGACGTCTGGTTGGTGGCCTCCTCCTTCCGGCAGTCACATGGTGGGCTCAGGGCTGGGGGTGGAAGCAGCGGCAGGTTGGGGGCTGTGGCTCCCAGACACCCAGCCCTTGAGGGTTACTTCTCCCTCGGCTGCTCGACATATGATTTGCCCTTGTTAATGGGACCCCAGCCCAACCTTTAGGTTTTTTTTACCAGTTACTGAGCACTAACTTTGTGCCAAATACTAGGAATAACACTTTACATGGACCATTTCACCCTCCATACAGTTCTATAAAGCGGGTATTACTATCCCTGTTTTACGAAGGAGAAAACTGGGGCTCAGAGAGGTTAAGTAACTTGCCCAAGGTCACACAGCCAAACATCAAACTCAGGTCTAAGCCTATGTTCTCCAGGGCTGCATGTACTGTTCTACCCTCCTGCTTTCCCTGGATGCCTGCTCCCCTCCTCCCTCAGCCTCTCTTCCTGAGGGCCAGTCTTTAGCCAGACCCCATCCCCAGCCCTCACCTGTCCTCTCAGATGCTCCCCTCAAAGACACGAAGCGGACTGTGGCATTGCCATCCCCATGCTGGTTGTAAGCGAGCAGCTTCACCTCATACACTGCAGTGGGGTCTGGGGGGAAAGCCAGGATGCTGAGGGACCTCCCCCGGCCCCACCAGGCGGCTGTCCCCAGGGTGAACTGGAGAAAACCTCTGTGAACCACCTCCTGGCACCAGGCACCACACCCCCGCCCAGCTCCCCAAGCCCCAGCCGTGTCCGCCTCACCGAGCTGGCTGAGGTTGTAAGAGGAGACAGTTCCAGGCAGCAGGATGGGGCCGGTGAAGGAGGCCTTGCTTGCTGGGCGGTAAAACAGCTTGAAGCCGCCCTCGTGCTGGGCCAGCCGGGGCCAGGGCTCCCACAGCAGCTGCAGGGTGGAGCTGCCCAGGACTCGCACTGACAGTGGGGGTGGGGCGGGGGCTGTGGGCGGAAAAGGAGGCCGAGATGTGAGGACTTGGTGGTTGAAGCTCTACCCTTCCACCTGCTACCAATGACCCAGACACCGCCCCCCAACCCAGAGCCTGACCGCTCTCTGACCTCTAACCCAGGGCCTCTGCTTGCTCAAATAGCACCTTTATGTGAATTAGAAAACAACACCCCTGGGACTTCCCTGGTGGTCCAGTGGCTAAGAATCCGCCTGCCAATGCAGGGGACACGGGTTCGATCCCTGGTCCGGGAAGATCCCACATGCTGCAGAGCAACTAAGCCCATGTGCCACAACTACTGAGACTGCATGCCTCAACTACTGAAGCCCGTGCACAGCAATGAAAACACAGTGCAACCAAAAAGAAAAAATAAGAAATAAAGTGTTGTCAGGTTTTTTAAAAAAAGAAAAAAGAAAAGGACACCCCTTCCTCCAAGTAGACCCAGCCCCGACTCAGCCTCAGGGCGAAGCACTCTGTGCAGTGCACAACCTGAACAACGGTGCACAGGGGTTCTGCCCTAATACTCTGAGTGTCTGTGGTTTTGTGCTCCACACCCAGACCTCACCTTCACCTAGAGTGCTGGCCAGGGTGGGGGCAGAGGCTGAGCTGGCCCCCCGGGGCGTGTAAGCTTTGATGTAGAAGCTGTAGGCAGTGGAGGGCTCCAGGTCGCTCACCAGGTGCTGAAAGGTGCTCTTGCTGACTGCTTCCTGATACTCCAGCTCTGGTGGGTCTGGGGGGGCCAAGGGTAGGGCAGGGGATTAAAGGGGCATGAGGGAATCCTACCCACACTGGTGAAATGAGGGCAGCCAGGGTGCAGCCGGGAGAAAGAGGGAAGGTGTTGGGTCAGCACGTGTGGGATCGAGGGGGATGAGAAACAGTAAGAGGAAGGGGATGCAGAGGCAGACTTGCCCTCCTGGGCCCCACCCACCAGCAGCCTTCCTGATATGCAGGACATAGCCGATGATCTCCTTGGTGTTGACCAGGGGCTCGGTCCAGGACACGCGGACCTCAGTGGACGACACAGAGACCGCCTGCACGTTGACGGGGGGCCCAGGCAGGCCCTCAGCCCACAGCACAGTCAGCCTGGCGCTGGCCTGAGAGGAGCCAGCGCTGTTCTCGGCCATACACTGGTAGATGGCCTCATCTTCAGGGCCGATTCCAGAAATGGTCAGGGTGCTGCAGGGGGAGGGAGAGCCTCAGATCCCCTGCTCCTTCTGGAGTATCCCTTGGAGGTTGGCCAAATCTCCCCATTTGAAAGATGGAGAAACTGAGCCCCTCCAGAAGACAACAGGCTTGTCTGAGATCTCTCAGCAAGTTAGGGGCAGACCTGGGACGACTCAAACCCAAGTCTCCAGACCCCCAGTTTAGTGTTCTTCCCTGGTAGGAGGTGCACAGCCTCCTACCGTCTGGGCCTCACTCCGGCACACCCACCACACACATGCCTGTTGTTATTCTTGAGCCTGACGTGGCCTCCTGGCCCCAGCACCTGTCCATTCTTCAACCACGTCACATGAGGGGGCGGCTCACCCTGGGCTTGGCAGGTGAACATGGCTGTGGTCCCAGCTGGCCTGGAGATGGACTGGGGGTGCTGGACAAACTCTGCTGGGGCTGGGGTTGGGGCGGGGGCGGGCACAAAGAAGCATAAGGGTCACGAGGGGTCAGGTGTACAGGGAGGGGACAGCTGTGAGTGAAGGACTGAGGAAGGGGAAGAGGGTAGGGCCAGAGGTCTGCAGGGAACAAGTGGGTAGGGGACATACACACCCACCCCGCCCCGGGGAGAATCCTCCAGGTGGGGCCCACCCTCCACCCCCAGCCTAGCCTCTGGGAGATAGTGGCAGCCCTCACGTCCCTCCACCCCAGAGAGGCAGACCCAAGAGAGGACTCCATTTTAATGACTATTTAAAAGACTGACATTTGTATCCGAAAGCAATCAAGCTGAGCTCCCTGTTCAGGAAATTGTTAAATAAATAAATGTGCTAATAGGTTTGGCTGCACCTCTAAGGCTGAAGGCCGGTAATGACGGGGAGATGGATGAGCCCTCAGTACCAGCCCCCCTCACCCCTACATTCAATTCCACTCTCCTCCAATCCCAAGCCTCAAACTTCCATTAACACCAGAGAAATGAAATGCTCCATCACTTTCATTTGGACAGATTAACAGCACATGGAATGCTAAACAAATGGGCATTTAAGTTCCTAACTCCCCTCTCTCCCACCTCTCTGGGAGGGAACAACCACAGAAAACCCCTGAGAATGGGACTCCAAGCCGGTTCACGAGACAGTTTAGCCCCAGGGCAGGAGGATGGACAGAATGAGCTGGTCAGCTGCAGAGGCCCCACATACCATGGGAGTGGAGGCCAGCTCTGTGTGTGTGTGTGTCTGTGTGTGTGTGTGTGTCAGGAGCTGGGGTGTGAGAGTGTGAAATGACAAACACACTGAGAGTGTGCAGGCAGGTGTGAGCGTGGAAGTGCCACACGTGTGAATGAGAACAGCACATGGAGGGAGGGACACATGGGGGTGACACAGGTTGGGGAGACCAGCTGAGATGACAAAGTGGAAATGACTGGGGGGGTGGCAATGGCACCTGGAGGGGCAGATGACCAAGAATGTCCTCGCATTCCCAACATACACATTCCTGGGGGAGGGAAGAGACAGAGAGCTGCTGCCTTTGGCCTGGGCTGGGGCCCTGGAGAGGGGGCAGGGGCAAGGTTAGGGCAAGGATAGGAAAGTGGGTGAGTACACAGCGCTGGGCTTGGGCCAGGGATGTCGATGAGGCAGGGAATGTGGGGTGGGGAGGTCCGTACCTTGCACCACCAGCCGGCCCTGTGCCGTCCTCCTCACCCGGGTGCCGGGCCTGTTGGCTGCACAGACGTAGACGCCCGAGTGCTGCACGGTCACGTCTGAGATGATGAGGTTCCCCGTGCCCAGCACCTGGATGCCCTCCACCCCAATGGGGCGACCATCTGAAGGGGAAGGGGAGGGTCAGGGAGGTAGGTGTGCAGGAATGTCCAGACTTGGAATCGGCCACCATCAATCTACCAGGGAGCCCCTGTCTTTGACTCTTCCCTCTGAGCAACATGGCATTGTAGAGGCGGCCAGAGCAGCACAGAAAACTCTCACCCAGCAGGAGAGAACTGGCTCCTGATCCTAACACTGTCACTGCCTCACTGGTGACCTTCAAGTCCCCTCCCCTCAGTTTCTCAAACAGGAAAGTAAGGGGTTTGGGTTACATGGACATTTCCCAGCTTGATTTGTCTCTCCTGAAAATAGTTCCTTGGTCAGATATCCATTCCTCTCCTTGACTGTCACAATGCGCGTTAATATAAAGGCTCTGAGAAGTCCTGTAGCAAAGGGATCTGGTTTACTCTGTTCCCAAACTTGTTAGACTACCAAGCCATTCTTTCCCCTTGCAGATTTCACTTTGGGAAATGTTGCACCAGATGGTCCTTGCAGGGCCTATGGGCTCCTCCTAATGGTGAGGCCACTCTTTCCAGCCTCTCCCAGTCCCCGGGCCCTCCCCCCACCCAGGATCAGATTAGCACAGTCAGAATGCGAGGAGACAGCTCCCCATTCAGTCCCTGAAGTGGTGAAATCTACTCCATTATCCTGCCTGCTGCCCCCTCCTTCCCGGATCACTCAGCTGCTACAATGTGGCACAGTCTCCTTGTGAATGCGACCCCACCCCATCCCCTCCAGACTCTCCTTCCCCCAGCGACCTTTCCACTCAGACAATGTGGGCCCATCTGCACCCTTTCATTTCTCTCCTTCAGCTGCCTAGGGATTTAGGCTGGGGATTTAGGGGGCCAGGTTAGAGACTGGGGGGTCCAGAGAGAGGATGTGACAACTGGCTGAGATTTTGAGGGGTTTGGGATTGCATCACTGGGGAGGATGGCCAGGGTGTAGATGGCAGAGATGAGCCCGACCGGAAAGAGACTAGGGGTGCTGAGAGCTGCAGAGGGGTTCTGGAGATGCCCAGAGTGAGGGGAGCATGGGGGAGGGGAGCTGGCGCAGGACTGCCAGGACTGGACGAGGTAACCTGGGGAGCTAAGCCATCTGCACAGAGGGAGGGAGAATGCAGTGGGCAGGCGGACCTCCCTGGTCCTGCCAAGGAGAGGGGAACCCACCCCCTCCCCAGGCCTCGAAGAGAACGGACCCCCACGGAGAACAAACAGGATTCCAAGTTCCCCCTGGAGCTGGGTGAAGAGACTGGCCCTCCCAGGGGTGGGAGAGGCAGGGGCTGCAGGATGGGGCTCACCCAGGCGGCTCCAGGACACAATGGGGCGCGGGTTGCCCGTGGCGACACACTCGAGCACGGCGGTCTGGTGCACAGTCAGGGTGAGGTTCTCAGGCCCCACGAGGATCGTAGGCTCCTTGTAGGCCCCAGAGCCCGAGCCTGGGAGGAAGATGCCATATTTCTTCACTTTAGCTGGGACCCTTCCCACCTCCTCACCACCCCCACCCACCCCCAATACACGGCCTAGGACGTGGGGGGTGGGAGACAAGCTCCAGCCCAGAAGCTGGGTCCCATGCGTAGAGAGGAGAAGCCAGCGGCCCCAGGACGTTGCTCACACTCATCTCTGCGGTCAGGCCCCGCAGGGCCTCCAGCGGTGGGAGAGCCACCCTCACCCAACCACCCATAAGCAGAGAGTGGGCTTCCTCAAGGAGAACTGAGCCAGGGAGGGGCCTCGAACGCCTCCTGAACCCTCACCCTGAAGAGCACAGAACTTCGTGCTCACAAGGTGCTCTGTATGCACTTGGCTGTCCAGGCTCTGGGGCTCAGTTGAAGAGGGACTGATTGGAGGGTGGGGAGAAGAACGAGGCAGAGCCAAGGACCCTCACCTGACACAGTGAGGCTGGCCCCATGGCTGACCCGGACACTGGCGACATTGGAGGCCACACAGTGGAAGACGCCGCTGTCCTCAGCCTGAAGGCCTGTGATCTGCAGGACCCCCTTGGGCAGCAGTGTGTACCTGTGGCGGGAGGGCACGGTCAACCATAAGCAAGCACAAGCACCACTGGCCACAGGGTCACTCAGCATCACGGACACAGCCCAGGACCCAGCCACTACCCCAATGTCGCTTTTGTCATCACAGACACACTACGGGACTCTCACAGGTGGATGCACCTGCGATTCCAGCCTTGACAACAATCACACACAGATCTTCGCGTGCATTCAAGTGTTGAATCTGGGCCCACAAACCATACAGATACTCAGTCTCAACAAAGTTGCAGAAACACCACCCTGGAGGCCACAGGCAGGCCTCCTTCAAGGCCCAGACACTGGACTGGCCTGCCTCTTGGTCATCCCTCCACCTTCCCCACCCGGGGCTCACCTCTCATTGTCTGTATCAATGGGGACTCTGTTCTTCTCCCAGGTGATCAGGGGTTTGGGAAGCCCATGGATTTGGCACTGGAAGCGGGCCACACCGCCCTCCTCACCCACGGTGGCCTGAGGGTGCACGTGGAAGTCGGACATGGCTGGAGAAAGAAAAGGAAATGTGTATGGGGAAGGCACACTGCTGAGGTGCAGAGGGGATGGGAGAGGGCATGGGGGGCCTCGGGCCTGTGTCCTGGAGCCCTGGAGCTCACCAAGCTCAGGGCGCAGGGTGTCTTCCCCCAAGCTGAGCTGGCAGGTGCAGGGCAACAGCTTGCTGGGGGCACATCGGCACTTACCCTGCCTCCTACCTGTGGGAAACATCTCCCCCTAAGGGATGGTATAGGCTGGGCTGGGACACTTTGAGAAAGGTCTGGACAAATTCTTGGATAAACCTCTAACATGGAAATCTTGGGCTGTGGACCCACGAAAGCTAGTCAGAGAAAAGCCTTGCTCCCAAGGCCTGCTCCCCACTTTTACAGCTTTCGGATTTATTTTTATAAACTCCCTGTAAGGTATGCAAGTGCTAAGTATTATGCTGTACATTTTACAGAATAGGAAACAGAGAGGGGAAGCGATTAGTCCAGTGTCACCCAGCAGGGACACTGGTCATTAGAGCCTGGTTACCAGCACCCAGTGGCTTTCTTTGCCCTTCATCATCACCCCCTTATCCCCAGTTCTTCTGCAGCTTCTCAATGTACCCCAAGAAGGTGGTGTACCATCCAAGGTGACAAGCTTCTTAGAAGACAGTCAGACCTACCAATCTACATTTCAATGTGTCATAAATATTCAGGGGCTGCCTTCCCACCTTTTGGGGATCTGAACTGCTTGAGCTCTGATCATGGGAGGGGCCGTGGTGCACGCCCCCCACCCCCTTTTAGGCCGGTGAAGTGTTCCTGCCCACCCTCACTCCCATCCATCCTTCCTCCCCAACCTGTAAAGCCCAGGGAAGGGGCCCCTCCCACATGGGTTCCCAGCTTCAGCACCAGGGCTGTGATTTCATTAAAATCCACTTTGCTTCAAGTGCGGGAAGGAGGCTCACCATCTGTCCAGGCAGGCAGCCCCTCCCCTCCAACACTCCATCAACTGGGACAGTTGTCCCCTCCCAGAAGAAGCCCTCCCTCTCCCCACAGCAGCAGGGACGCTGGAGCTTGTCCTGGTCCCTGCTCCTGACTCCCTGGTGCGGGTGGGCACACCCCGTCTCAGGCCCCCTCAATCCACCGGTCTGTTCAGGACTCCAGGGCAGCTCAGAAAGGCCGAGCCTTTGTGCCCTTCTTCCCAGAGTCTCTGGGGGCTGACTCTTTTGTGGCACATTCTCCATCTCATTTGCATGTGGTTCATTAAATATAAACATGCATAAAAATCCCCAGCCCAGCCTCCTCCTCTTTCAGGGCCTCCTGGGAGTATGGCTGATGGGTGTGAGCGCGTCCTTGCACATGTGTGCAGAGCTGTGCTCGCTGAGAGGACATGGTTGCCTCTGTGTATGTGGTGTGAGTGTCCAAGCTGGATGTGAATGGGCGGGGGGTGGTTGTATCCCTCAGCTCCTGTGGCTGGTGTGTGATTCTGGTTCTGTGTAGGTAATCAATCACACATGTCCCTGTGTAGGTATAGTCCTTACAAACGGCACCTTGGGGCCCTAGGAGCGGGAGATGGGGGCAAGTGCCCCAGCTGGTGTCCCCATCAGGCTCAGTGAGATGATCCCCAGGGAGCACTGTGAGGTCAGCCTGCCCAGGCTCAGGCCAAAGGCTGTGTTTGGCCAAGGGCCTGCAGGTCAGCCCAGAGGTTTGGGGCAGGGGGCTGAGGCACTGGTAGGGCCCCTCTACTGCTTCCAGGCCTCAACCTCTAGGAGCGCGGGGCTGGAGGCAGGCCTAGCGAGCGAGCGGAGAGGGCACCCCGGCTCCTGGGTCAGCTGTCTATGCCCCACCCACCCAGCCCTGCCCTTCAGGAGCTGGGGAGCTGCCTGCCCCTCCTCACTCCAGCTGGAGAGGAGCCTGCAGCCCCCCAGGGACTTGGGGCGGGGACTAATGGCTCTGCTGACTACAGATGCCTCCTCATTAAGGAACCCGAATCCTTTTGTGTTTCTAGCCCCCATTCTGGGCTCCCTGGAGGCGCCTAGAGCTAGGAGCTGGCCTGAGGAGAGATGCAAGGGAAAGGGCTGCTTCTCATCAGGGCGCACTGGATGGAGAAAGTTTGGCCTCTAGCTTCTTTCTCCCCCTAAAACTAATCAATGAAAAAGCATGGGTTGAATGTGATGCTGCAGAGGAATGCTCGAGCAGGAAGGGGTGGTAGTTAAGGAGCCAGTCTGATCATCTTTACACTGTACAACAGAGTCCGAGGGGTCCCCAGGGGCCCCTGGGATGCAGCTGGGGCCCCTCCCCACCCAGGGCTTCACATCTCCCCTCCATCAGAGCAGCACCTTGCTAAACCTCTCTATCAGCTTTACTTAACTGCAGTTCTGCCAAACATTTCATTTGAAGGGTAGCTTTGCTTTTAAAAGTGCTTGAAAACCACGCATGTAAAGCCAACACATTCATTTTATGAAAGGGAAACTGAGACCCAGGCCCAGTTGGTGGCTCTACTGGCCCCAAATCAGAAGTTCCATGCCCCAAGCCCTCTGCTGGGGTGTCCCCAGCACATTTTTCACTCTCCAAGGACAGGTGACCCCAGGGCAGACTGCAGGCTGGGCCAGCCTCTTCTCACTGGCCGTGAGTTGGCACTGTGTTACAAGTTGCAGGGACGACAGTGAGCCCCCGAGAAGGTTTTTCTGTCCCATCCCTCGGAGCCCAGCTGGTTAGGCAGTGTGGTCCGGGGGAGGGGGTGCAATAGGAGGGTGTGGTCCTCTTTATCTGAGGCTCCTTCTTCCCTCCCCTTCTTCCCACCCCTACTCAACCCTTGGGTCAGCCCTGTATGTCCCTTCGGTGTCCTGGGGGATTGCAGTGAGACTGTGGGCAGGCAGTGTCAGGGTATAAAAGGGAAGAACAAACCTGACTCCACGTTGGATCTGTTTCTTTTTCTTTAACCTTTGTATTCTATTGCTTTTGCTACAAGTTAGTTGCTAAAGGGATGTTGCCTAGAGCTTAAAGTATACATGATGGCCCATCTCTGGGAACCCTGCCTCCCATAATAGGAGCGCTGGTCCTTTCCTCCACAGATGAAGGGGTGAACAGGTACTCTGCAGGGCCTCCCACGTTAGACTCCTGCCGCCTTCCTGTACAGGCCTTTGTCCACACTCGGCTGAGCTCACTCCGAGTTCGTCCACTCACTCCGAGAGTTCACTGCTGACTTCTTTAGGAAATCAGGGGAGAAAATTTCTCAGGGCCACTTAGATCTTCGATCTCTCAGAGGGGAAACACGTTTGGTTTACGTGTCTGTTTTGCACTGGCTTGTACGAGCAGGCCATGGAGCCAGCTGTCCCTCATTGTGTCTCTCTGGGAGAGGGTCCCTGGGCAACCATGAGGATGTGGGGCTGAGGACTGGACCTCAGAAGACGCTGACCTCTGAGCAAGTCATTCTGGAGGCCACTGTGTGGTTGACAGTGGTGGGCACAGTGGCTGGAGGCACTATTTGTTAATAGTTTTTTATTATTATTTTAAATTTTTATTTTATTTATTTATTTTTGGCTGCGTTGGGTCTTCGTTGCTGCACACAGGCTTTCTCTAGTTGTGGCGAGCGGGGGCTACTCTTTGTTGCAGTGTGCGGGCTTCTCGTTGTGGTGGCTTCTCTTGCTGCAGAGCACGGGCTCTAGGTGCGCGGGCTTCAGCGGTTGTAGCACGCGGGCTCAGTAGTTGTGGCTCACGGGCTCTAGAGCGCAGGCTCAGTAGTTGTGGTGCACGGGCTTAGGTGCTCCGCAGCATGTGGGATCTTCCCGGACCAGGGTTCGAACCTGTGTCCCCTGCATTGGCAGGCAGGTTCTTAGCCACTGTGGAGGCACTATTTGTGGCCAGTGTGGGTAGCACTGTGTATGGGGCTGGTGGACATGAAGGTGATGCTGCGGCTTGCAGCTAACGATGCTTTACCTTCCTGCTCACACCTGTTGGTCGGGTAGGAGCCGTTTCGGGTTCCTCACTTCAAGCTAGGTTATGGGAGGGGGTCGTGTTGGGAGGCCCCTCCTGTGTGAGGACCAGAGAGAGTGACAGGGAGGACAGAGGCCTGCTTGGGGGTCATTATGGAGAAAGGAAGAAGAAAGCACCTTTGTCCTCAGTCTGAGAAGGAATCTCCCAGCCGCTCCCTGTCCCTGCCAGGGGTACAGCTAGGCCGTGGGGAAAGAGGGTTCACAGAGACAGCCCAGCAACCCACCGGGCTGGAAGGGAGCAGAAACCAGCAGGAAATGGCTCCTGGACACCCCTATAAATCACCTGAGGGGAGGGGAGTCTCCTGAGAGCCAGATCTAGAGCGGCTCAGGGAGGGGAGGGGAACTTTCCTCCTGGTCCATGACCTCTGGCGAGGTCAGGCCTGGATCTGATTAGACAGGCTCCAAGGGGACGCTGGGGGGGCAGGAAGGGTCGGGGCAGAGTGCTGGGAAGGAAGCCGGCAGCATACCCCAAGCCCAGCCTCCAACCCTTTGGCTACAGCCAGACTCCTATCTGGTGTTTGATGACAAAGAGATCAGTGGGCTTGCTGGGATGGAGAGTTCAAAACACAGCCTTTGCAGAAGCCAGCGGCACTGGAGGTCTGAGGCACCGACTGCCCCCACTCATACCACCATTCAAGAGGAATAACCACGACCTGCAGACGCTTCCAAAGGCCATCCAAAGTCCCCTTCCTTGTATCCATCCCTGCCAAGGACCAGGGACACCCCGAACGCCCGGTTCCTCCTCACGCAGCTCAGATGATTGTAATGTTTTTCCTTATACCAGAGGCACAGCTGAATCCCATATGCTTCCACCCAATGCCCCAACTTCCCCCTTGAGAATCTCATTTTTTAATAAAGTAAGTAGCCAGCTATTAAGCACTTGAAATGGGACCAGTCCAGATTGAGTTGGGCTGTAAGTGTAAAATACACACTGGATTTCGAAGATTTAGTACAAAATAAAAAGACACTAAGCATTGGGGAAATGCAAATCAAAACCATAATGAGAGGCCACCTCACACCCATTGGGATGGC